ATCAATAATTTATCATAAATGTTGCTCTTTTCTTCTACATTTCAGCATATACTGCTGTCGCCGGCCAAATTGATTGATGGTTCATATGAGTTAAGTTCTTCACAGTTGCCATCAAATTGGTAAAGAAATCATTAACTTGCAGGAAAATTTCTCACGAGTTTTTCTTGCGTTTTTGTTGCCAGTTCTTTAGGGTAAAAGAACTAATGACAATATTAAAATTAATGATAATGCACGAGGTTATAAGATACTTTTTTTTACCAACCCAGCAAATATTTACCCTTTTTTGGTGCAAAATGTGCGAATAATGGAACCCAGGTATGACGTCAGATGGTATTTGCACAACAGAGGTAATAAAAATGTTGTTCAATGAGTTTTCATTTTAGAAATTTCGTTGGAATGTATCGAAGGGGTTGTATCGACTAAAACCTTGTACATATATTTTAGCTACCCTTTTTACCCATCAACTAAAACCTTAACCGAGGTCAGCTGGCAAAAGTTCCCTGAACTCTGCTCCTCTCTGTACTCTTATCAACATAACGAAGAAAAATAAAAGCGAAATATGAAATTATAATCTTATTACATCGTCACAACAAACGACGAGGCAGCAGCATCATGTCGGCAAGGCGTCTTCTAGTCCGTTCATCCTTTCCAAGCGTTCTCCTTTATTTTCGCTCCTTTTCTTGCTGATCATCTTCAGCTGCCTTTCTGGCGGCCTGCCTGCTGTAAATTGCGCACCGGCCGGAGATATGCCAACATTTGTCCCAAATATCAGCTTTTTTCTTCCTTACAACACAACAATCCTTCTACAGACAGGCAGACAGACAGAGAAACACACAACGTGTCCTTACAAAAAGGATTACGTAGCATGCTTAGAAAAATACTCAAAGGGGGGATCTTGTTAGACGCACAGCGGACGCTTCAGTTTGAGGGTGGATTGGTTTCCCATTTTTTGGTATATTTATTGAGTTTTTTTTCTGTTATTAGTTGTCTGAAAAATGCCTCGACGCAGTTGGGCCAGTTGCGTAATCAGGCGTATAACGCCAACACGATGCTGAAGACAGGATATCGATAGCAGCACGTTTTGTTATGCTCCTATTTGCCGGTTGTGTTTGCTTCAGCTTGATTGAGTTTTTGTCAAAACTACAAAACCTAAATGCTAAATAGTAAGAAACTTCTATAATATTTGATGAAAATACGCGTATTTAAAGAATATGTGATTTATTTTATTAAATATCATTCAGTAAGTCTGTTGGATGATTAAATCAGGGACTGTGACCATTATAAGTGTTTATTGTAAAAATTACAAAATAATGATTACTTTTTAATTTTATTAATTTTATTCATTCGCTTACGATATAATGAATAATTTTGCGTTTTACTTTACAACTTAATAAACTCATAAAATAATGATTATTTCTTAATTTCATTTATTTTATTAAAGATAAACGTCAAGTTGTGATTGTCCCTGCCTTTTTAGTAGGGAAAATGACAAACTTTATATATATAAAACAATAAGTCAAGCCGGTACTTTGGGCTAAAAAAAACTTTCTTAAAAAATATTTTCAGACAAACATTTACAATTTGAGTTTTATTTTTGATAAATCCTAAAATAAAGGATGTTGGTAAATTCCTCGCTTTCTCAAATACTTTAAGTAAATGGATTTTTCGTTAAAAAAAAAGTAATAATAATCATTATTTGCGGACCCTGAATTAAATGTTAACTTTGAACTGATTCATTAAAAATCAGTTTTATTTTTGATAAATCCTAAAATAAAGGATGTTGGTAAATTCCTCGCTATCTCAAATACTATAATTAAATGGTTTTTTCGTTAAAAAAAGTAATAATAATCATTATTTGCGGACCCTGAATTAAATGTTTACTTCGAACTGATTCATTAAAAATCAGTATAAATATGTATTTTTACTCTAAAAACCAGATAATATTGAAACGTCACGACCTTGTTGCATTTGAAGCCATCTTATCCTTTTTTCAGAGCTTAAATACCGCAACCTCTTGAGTTTCCATTTTGTGGCATTATGAGGTCGCCAAGCCTTATACATACTACACAGAAGATTACATTTAAATGATAGTGTGTCTTATTTGAGTGTAAACTATAATAAAATGCCCTCCAATATCAAATAACTCCACTCTCTACCTAATAGATACAATTTGCGAATGTATGTTACACATAGAAGGAACCGTGGCAGAACCCACACTAGTATGTCGAATTGAGTCTACTTTATTATTTGTACAAATTACTTTTAATTAAAAAATCTCTATTAATTAAAAATAAACAAAAACTATTTTGCTATGGTTGGTACTGGGTTCGCACGACCCGAAAACGAGCTAAAAAGTTATCTTCGTCTTTTCTAACAAGACCTTTCTTGCATTTGGTTATCTGTGTTTAAGTTTCAAAACTCTTTTTAAAATGTTATTCGCCTTAGAATAAAACATTTTCCTCCATGGCCAAGCGCTGTAAACTCCCTTACAGTTTTCCTGCTATGTCCTCTTTCATTAGAAAGCATTTTTAAAACTTATTGTATTTGGTCATCCATAACTAATGAGTGATGCAAAACTATTAGATATAACTACAATTTGGTTCCCATATCTTTACAAATAAAGAAGTTGATGATACCAAACTATAGATATTATATTGTATGCTTATTAGTGATCTAACATGGTAGGTCTCAACATACATAGCCTAGGTGCAAAATTTAAAAGCGATCTAAAATTGTGCAAGGAATAGTTTTTTAAACGAACAGACAAAAATAAACGGTCGTATACCACACTTCCTTTTGGGTGTTCAGACACTGTGTTACACAAGAAAAAAATCTCCCTATACACTTAAATAAATTGTATATTATTGAAAATATCCTTTCAAACACTTTATAAAGCAAAGCAAAAAACAAGAAAGGAGTGCTAAAGTCGAGCAGGCTCAACTCTTAAATACCCTGTACCACCCCACAAAAAAATAAATTAAATTAATTGAATGAATTAATTAATTTAATTTATTAACTAAATTAAATATAAAATATTTCATACATGCATACATACATTTAACTTTACATCAGAATCGTGTCTATGCGTGTTTGTGTACTTGTACATATGTATGTATGTGTGCATTGGGCCTGGTTATATGGCTATAACTTTCTTTCTGATCAACCTATCATAATGAAACTTGGTATACGGATATACTTGTATAATCTCTAACTTGATGTTACTTTAAACATTTCAAGAATTACAGGAGTTATAGAAAATCGTTAATAGGGGGGAGTGGGGGGGTGCATCAGAAAAATCTAGATACCAAGTTTGTTCTAGCTCTTATACTTTCAGAGATCCTTGCGTTCATACAGACAGACGGCCATGGCTATATCGGCTCGGCTTGTCATCCTGATCAAGAATATACCCCCCCACTCCCCCGCAATTTGTGTTTTTGCCATAATTCCCGTAACTCCCGTATTTCTTGGAATTTTGTACTCAAATTTGGCAAATACATCCATATAGTGATTATGTCTGTGTGCCAAGTTTCATCATGATAGATTAATTATGAAGAAAGTTATAGCCATAAACATAGTCTCTGCCGATGTTCTGCCGGCAGGGGTTGCTGCTTTGCTGCACGCATAAACACGATTTTGCTGGAAATGTATGCTGTTGAAAATTGTACTTACTTGTAAACACATGTCTGTATGCATGTGTTAAATACTTTTATATCCTGTACCCGTAGGGTAGAAAGGGTATATTAGGTTTGTGCAAAGTATGTAACATGCAGAAGGAAGCATTTCCACCCCCCATAAAGTAAATCGATCTAGACATGTCCGTACGTCCGTCCGTCTGTCCGTCTGGATGAACGCAAGGATCTCAGAAACTATAAAAGTTAGAATAACCAAAGTTGGCATCCAGATTCTCCTATGTCCGAGAAAGGACGAGTTTATTTTATTTTTTTTAATTTTCCTCCCGTTCCCCCGCTACAGAATTTCGTCAATAGCGTCCACATTTCAAATGCTACATAAACCAAACTTTGCACATATCATTTATATATAATTATCTACTGTTGTTTATTTTATCCAATTCTGCAAATTCTAAAAGTTATTAGCGAAATAAATTCTCTCCAGTACAACCCCCAAAAACTGCAGCAACAAGTTCGCTCTTCTTCTTCCTCTTTTTGCTTCTGCTATGAAGTTTACTTGGGTACAGGGTATTTCACTGTCGGGATTGCTCGACTGTAGCGTTCTCTCTTGTTTTTTTTGTGGGGTGGTACAGGGTATTTAAGAGTTGAGCCCACTCGACTTAGCATTCCTTTCTTGTTTTTTATTCCCAAATACAAGTGTTGAGATGTTAAGGTACACTTGTCCCATCATGCAGGACAGAAATAGATCTATTTACTATTGTTTATAGGAGTTTTCTTACAAGTTTCATGAACAATTAATCACTATTTACTCCAAGTTTTTCCAAAATCTTCATCCGACTTGCTTCTATAACACAGTTGGATTGAAAATCTTTCAAAGCCTCAAATTTGACTCACGTATCGAAATTAACATTAATGACGGGCAAAATTTAATAATGAACACTATTCAAGAAATCGTTAATGGAATTACTATAAGAATTTGCAACGTACTATAATGTTATCAGCACAGAAATTTTATTCATACTTGTGTTTGTTCAGTGGAGAACTTTCGTTAGCTTGAACCGCTGATAAACATTGTGGTAACGGATGCCGATTAAAATATTTAAGTGAATGAACATATACTCGTATATATAATATATTTAAAAAAAACCGCGCGAAGCACTAAAAATTACTCATAATCGTTGAGTTACAATCATTAGCAGTCGAAATTTTGCTTAAGCTAGAGCAAGAGCTGATGTAGAAATTATGTTGGTCGCGCGCATTTTAATATTTGCGTTACTGCCCGTTTATTTAGCGGCGCAGGTAAACAGCAGGAAAGAAACAAAAATGGAGAGGAGAAGAGGAAACAGAGGTGTAAGTAATGGAAGACTTGCAATGAAGTTATGGGATAACATTACTAGTATACTTGTAAGTAGATAAATGTCAGAAGAGCAAATAGCTATAAATGCCTATGCGGACACGGAATTTGCGCAGCGAATAATACCTGCAAGTGCTATAGGGGCTACAAGAATCTGAACAACATCAGTGCCGGTCGGTATGTGTAATTATTGTTTAAGGCTTAACAAAACATGCATATCGATAACCCAATTATTTGCTAGATGTGTTCCTGCGTGCAAGGACGATTGTGATAACGGCTTCTGTCGTTCGCCGGGAAATTGCGTTTGTGCCAAGGGCTTTGAAAAATTCGGCGAAAATGGAATATGTAAGCCTATCTGCAGTTCGGGTTGCTCGAACGGCTATTGCACGGCCCCAAACAAATGTGCCTGTAACGAGGGCTTCAAAAAAATAAATGGAACTTGTCGTCCACACTGCGATCAGTCGTGTAGTGCAGCCCACAGTTATTGTGAAGAACCGAACAAATGCGGCTGTCAGCAAGGCTACGAACTGGATATTAATGCGAATACTGTGGTGTGCCGACCCAAATGCGCTGGCAATTGCGATAACGGCGTTTGTCGCGCACCCGACGTGTGCGAATGCAATACAGGCTACGAAAAAGCCTCAGATAAGACTTGCATTCCGAAGTGTCAGGCGGGCTGCTTGGGTGCCATTTGTACAGCCCCGGATCTCTGTGAATGCCTCAAGGACCATGTTCGAATTAGTGACAACACTTGCTTGCCCATCTGCGAAAGCTGTGTGAATGGGCTTTGCGTTAGGCCCGGAGAATGTATTTGCTATGAAGGCTTTACCACAGATAGTAGAAATATGTGCTCCCCGATCTGTGAGGGTGGATGCGAAAACGGATTCTGTGAAGCTCCCGGAAGATGTGCTTGTAATGATGGCTACGAAATGGAAAGTGAAAACAACTGCTCCCCAATCTGTGAAGGTGGATGCGAGAATGGATTCTGCGAAGCTCCCGGAAGATGTGCTTGTAATGATGGCTACGAAATGGAAAGTGAAAACAACTGCTCTCCAATCTGTGAAGGTGGGTGCGAGAACGGATTCTGTAAAGCTCCCGGAAGATGTGCTTGTAATGATGGCTACGAAATGGAAAGTGAAAACAACTGCTCCCCAATCTGTGAAGGTGGATGCGAGAATGGATTCTGTGAAGCTCCCGGAAGATGTGCTTGCAATGATGGCTACGAAATGGAAAGTGAAAACAAGTGCTCCCCAATCTGTGAAGGTGGATGCGAGAATGGATTTTGTGAAGCTCCCGGAAGATGTGCTTGTAATGATGGCTACGAAATGGAAAGTGAAAACAAGTGCTCCCCAATCTGTGATGGTGGATGCGAGAATGGATTCTGCGAAGCTCCCGGAAGATGTGCTTGCAATAATGGCTACGAAATGGAAAGTGAAAACAACTGCTCTCCGATCTGTGAGGACGGGTGCGAGAATGGATTCTGTGAAGCTCCCGGAAGATGTGCTTGCAATGATGGCTACGAAATGGAAAGTGAAAACAACTGCTCCCCAATCTGTGAAGGTGGATGCGAGAATGGATTTTGTGAAGCTCCCGGAAGATGTGCTTGCAATGATGGCTACGAAATGGAAAGTGAAAACAACTGCTCTCCGATCTGTGAGGACGGGTGCGAGAATGGATTCTGCGAAGCTCCCGGAAAATGTGCTTGCAATGATGGCTACGAAATGGAAAGTGGAAACCAGTGCTCCCCAATCTGTGAAGGTGGGTGCGAGAACGGATTCTGTGAAGCTCCCGCAAGATGTGCTTGTAATGATGGCTACGAAATGGAAAGTGAAAACAAATGCTCTCCGATTTGTGATGGTGGATGCGAAAATGGATTCTGCGAAGCTCCCGGAAGATGTGCTTGTAATGGTGGCTACGAAATGGAAAGTGGAAACCAGTGCTCTCCTATCTGTGAAGGTGGATGCGAGAATGGATTCTGCGAAGCTCCCGGAAGATGTGCTTGTAATGATGGCTACGAAATGGAAAGTGGAAACAAGTGCTCTCCGATCTGTGATGGTGGATGCGAAAATGGATTCTGTAAAGCCCCTGGGGCTTGCACCTGTATTGATGGCTATGAAGCAAACGATTGGGGTATTTGTGTGCGTATCAATAATTATAGTTCCAGTTTGCCAGCAGAAAAGGTCAGCTCGGATGGAGGACAAACATCGGTGGAATGTGAAAAATTGTGCTTAAATGGAACCTGCGCAAACAACACATGCATTTGTAAGTTGAATTTCAGCTTGCAGAGGAGCAAAACAAATCATTTTGTTTGCCTTCCAATTTGCGATAATAATGATGCATTGTGTGATGATTTTCATGAAACCACTCTTGATGGATATACCCGCAAGGAAAGCTCCAGAAACCAATGGCTCTTGGTGATCGTAATTGGTTTCACTACTCTAATCTTGATGGTATTTATCATATACGGGGTGGTGACCTACTTTTTTGGTAAACGCAGCTATCATGTGGAAAATATAGGTACGAGTATGAGAAAAAAATATCGTACAACTATTCACTTGTAATGTAAATTTTTTTGCTTGCAGAAGAAAAATGTGGTGTTTATGGATTGGCGCTTGACGAAGAGATAATTTGAGCCCGGCAGCAAAATAAATATATTTTTTTCAATTTATTCTTTTTTATCAGCATAATAATAATAAATATTTGACTTTGTTAATACAAATTTAAAGTTGGTATGGCCAATTCGAATTTGAAGTAGCTTCCTACTGGTACTTCCAGTATTTATTATGGAACTCTTTTATGTACAGGGTATACAAATTGTGTAAGTAGTTTACGAAATCCGACGGACTGATCAGATATATACATGCTCTTGGCGTCGTATATGCTTCTTTCTATATGTTACATACTTATGCACGAACCTAATGTGCCCTTTGAATTATCGGACCTAAATCGGGTATAAAAATGGCCAACAGTTTTCTCATTTCTTTAAAATAGGATTATTATTACGATTTTTATAATGATTAACAGTTTCCCCATATCTATACAGAGGGTTGTTGTCTAAGATGAGCTCCATGACTGCGTTTTATATTAAATACTTGTATATACAGATTTCAGAATTTTGTATTACTTTTTTACGGGTTAAAAGTAGCGTAATTGAGTGAAGATGTTTGAAGTGTTTTTATCTAATTGGAATTCGCCATATGGATTTACCAAGGCTCTGAAAAGAGCCACACAATTACGTGTTGCAGTTTCCGCACATGTTACACGCATTTCACCTCCTTGAGACAAACCTGACCTTCATCTGCCCGCAGCACTCATTAAGACTCAATCTATGCATGGCCCACACGCCTCTTCGAGTCAAATTTCTGCGCACCCTGCATGCTAATGACTTGCCGCATATATGCAAATTGGGTGTCAAGGATGGGTGGCAGGGTGTCAGCGACACGTTAAAAAGCAATTAGGCCAGTGTGCCAAACATTTTCCTTCAGTTTGCAGCGACAGCTGCCCAGTTTTTGCAACATACTTTGTCTTTGCCGCTTCACTGACAACATCGCGACGTTTCATTAATTTACAAGTAGAATTTTAGTAAAAAAGGAAAAGAAAAACTTACAGCCTAAGCAAACATTGCGTGCATTTATTTCAGGAAGGAAGGAGAGTATGTACAAGTAGTGCAGATCTTCACTTTTGATTTATATTTGTTTGGACATTCGAGTACAGAAATTGCACAAGGAATGTGCCAGCCACCCCGGTTCGCAAGGACGCGCGATTCCAAGAAACTCGGGCTAGTCAAGCATGAAGACACTTTTGCCACAGCTTAGCGCAGCCGGCCAAGGTCAGGGTCCATTAGGTTAAATGATATTGATGATGATGATGCCGAAGGATTGCAGTGAGTGATCAGCTGCTGAATTCCGGGCGCAATGTAGGGGGTTGGTTTCAATTTTGTATACGATCCAGAGGCCAAAGAAAATCGCCTAATGATCCTGCTCAAAGTTTTTTGCCTGCTCCTGAGAAATTCGTAAACATTTTCACACATTTATTGAACTGTTCGATTGTTTTTCTTCTTTTCTGGCATTTAGTTTTCTTTTCTTCTATCGCCATATTTTTTGCTAATCAAGAAATTAATAGGATTATATATGCAGAGGACAAACGGCAGAGGCCTGTGTTGACAGTATTTTGGCCATGAGGTCAAGTCGTTGGTATTTGGTCATTTGTATGCCCAGCGCTTAGCATATTCGTAAGTGCTGAAGAGGGTAGTTAAAATGCAAAATTATTGTCTGAAAAGGATCGGATTTTTTCACAGCTTGTAATGCGAGTCATCGACAAAAGTAAAACCCCGTATTGATTGATAATCTGGCTTCGACTTTCCTTAGCACTTTCTATGCCACAAATGATTGCACAAGCTATCGATCATCAACGCAAGGGGTGGCCAAATACACGATTTTGCATTAAAAAGTTTCGAATTTCCAGCAGCAAAATTCCTGTGGAAATTATAGAAAAAATCGACACGGAAACGGAAAACCCATTACTGTAGCAATCCTTTAACGGAAATCGAATGACAAATGCCATCTTAATGACGTCAGCTGCTCCAAGTTGTCTGGTAAAGCCAAAAAAAATTGCCACTTTCCTTTCCTTGAAAGATTTGTGTGAAAGTCCTCCCTCCCTTCGCGCAGCACTCGCAAAGGGTTAGAGGGTTGGTTGTACGTGCAATTTTCTTCTCCTTTGTGCGAAATGCAAAAACAGAGTTTTACGGTTTTCTGCCTGTCTGGGTTTTTGCGCACTAAAGGGTTTTCCGTTTGCATTTCCTTACGCGAAATGGATTAATTTGCCTGCATTGCATAAAAATTCATTAGCGTAGCAAGTAATCCTTTGGCCCTCATATGTGCATATGCCCATGTCTGTCAGAATGTTGCTACTTTCATGACATTTGATACTGCAAATTGCATAAACAACAGGCATGGGAAATTAATAAATTGCTTTGGCGACGTGCTCTGAAGAAGGGTTGAGAATATTGCATTTTGAATGCGAATTTGGACTGCCACAAAAAATCTTTTGCGCAACGTTTTGGACTTTAGAAATATTTTGTCGGGACTAAATATGTATCAGAATTCGATAAGGCAAATGTATGCATTGGAATTGAACAGTTCAATGAAATACGTAAAATAATAGTAGAATATTTACAAGAAAATTATCAAGAAATATCGACAATTCTATTGTAGTTCATATTCAATTTTATTTAATTCTTTTCCAAAGTTTATTATATTCTATTTAATTGGCTAATCTTTAATTACCAATTTTAAATTACTAAAATTTTAAAATTAGTATTTGATGGCATATTAATTTTTATTGCTGAATGCAGAACATCGATTTTGAGATATGTATGTTAAATCAACGTGCAATCCAACCGGTAAGAGCAAGGGAGTTGAAATTTACAAAATAAGTTGCATTGTAGGCTTTTTAATTTTATTTATTACAGAGGCATGAAAGAGTTAAATGTATGTACCTACATATGTACTTGGATCTTCACTTACTATATATGTATGTTTGGGATAAGTTGCACAAATATCGTTGTCAAATTATACAGTTTTTAATTCTAGAAATGAACTGTCCTGATTATCACAATCATACGTTATGTGTACATACGTAATGGGCGACTACAAGTATATCAAGCAGTTGGACAAATAATAATGTTCTCTCTATTCTCTACTTATTAGAATAGGGTATCTTAACCTGTTAACTTGCCCAATTTATTCTGTCCGCGATTAACAGAATGCTCTCCTTCCCTCTCTATTTGCAAATTTCCAATCTACTTCGAACCACATCAGCATGAGTAAGTCTTAGAGGCATGAATATTTAATTAAAATCAATCATAAGTCCCGAAAACACACACCTCTCAATACTTCCAACTTGTACTCAATAATCTCTGGAGGAAACCTACTTAGCCTCGTTCTGCATGGCACTTGAAGAAAATTAACATTTAACACGGTTAATGCCAAACAACAAAACATCAAAATGAAATCAACGGGTACGGGTCGTAGCAATCGAATTTGCATAACATTGGCACAAGTCAAAAATGCGCCAAACAACCCGTTGCACATCCTTTCTGGGGACGTCAAGAGCGAGCACGATTCCTTGTCGGGACACCCGCTTAATTGAAAATGCCAAAATTATGCAAATTCTGCAACCATAGTTGGTGATGGTCTGCATAATTTTGGTTGCATTTATGGCTGCTGACTGGGACTGGTTGGGAAATGATTCGTGAAAATGGTATGACTATGGAAATTTATGCAGTTGCAGTTTCACTTGAAATAATATTCAGAGTTCTCGAAGTAAATCGTATACATACTGTTTGTGTATCGGATGCATAAATTTCGCAAGCGATTTGATTGCAATCAGTGTGAGAAATAGTTTTGAATAGTGCCTGTGAATCAGCAAATGGCAAATGTTTGTTGTAATCGTTAGATGCCGTGCATCCATATTTCATGAACACCTCTCAAAATTATATGAAAAACTTGGAATTGTAACGCCCAGAATTGGTTGAATGATATTATAGGTTATACTTATAAGATTTAGTTTGTTTTATCAGATCTATTTTAGTTTTCGAATTCGATGAAATAATGCCAAACAGATCCAGGAAGAACAGTTTGACTGATATAATAAGAATATTTTTGTTCTAATATTTAGTTGAAATATCCATGCCATTCGATTTTTAAATAGATTGTGTGCTGACAGTAAACAGAATCTACTTCACTTGGAAATTTAATAATTTAAAATAATATGAGATAAGAGTAGTCCCTCTTATGTGCAGACATAAGTTGACGGGATAATTCAAATATTTATACAATTTCTATAAAGAGCAAAACATTTCAAGATACTTAACTTTAGATCAGCATTCTTACTTTTTGGAACAAATTGCGTTATTAATTCAGACCTGACATCTTTAATTATGATTTGCCCAGAAGCCCAATCCAGATCGCAAGATGCTTTAACACAGTGATGCTTTAAATTGGAACTATTTATTTGTATTCATTTTCTTATATATATTTATAAAGTTTTATAACCTCCTTGAGGATAAAAATAAATAAAATTGTATAATATTTATTTTGTTTATGCCAGTTCAATTACATTTTAATATCACTCAAGCACTAAATTAACAAATGTTTAAAGAATATATCATCTGAGTAAGTAACAACGAAGGAACTGCTTCAGGCAGCATTTCTATAGAAACGATATTTAAAGTGTTTATTCTTACCAACTGCATTTTGATCTACGTATATGGAAAACTCTTTTTCGAAATATTTTATATTCTTTGACATCCAGGTGTGAAAAAAGTTCCTCCTTTTTCATCATTCGACTTGATAGAAGGCGCAATAAAAAGAAAAAGAGCTAACATTTTACACTCCATCACAAACGGAAAGGAAGTCTAGTTTTTAAAGTTTTCTTCGGTTATTTTTTACCCTGAATGTCCATTAAACAACTCTTGGAGGGAAATTTCTTTTTGCAGTCCATTCTTCAATCACGAACGCTTGGCTGAATTGGCTAGGATCATTAATTTTTGACTAGAGCCTTGATCCATCGTACTCAATTGTCTTGCAATATGTTGACAGGCATTGCAAAATGATTGATCGTTTCCAACTATTACATATAGTTGTAGCAATGTCCTTGAAAATGCCAAAACTTTGCTAAAAAACCTATCCAGTTAATGACTTTCGACCACGCCATATT